AGAGAATCTTTTCAAATGAATTACTAAAATACGGGGAAACTTATAGATTGATAAGGACTTTGTACATTTTCTCCTTTGCTTGCACCTCGAACACATTGGTTTTTCATCTCCATCCAGAGTTTCCTCTCTTGTGAAAGAATCCAAGCAATGTGACAAACTCACTTGGCCAGATCTTTGTGGTATGGGAAGGGACAAATCCCAGAAAGGATCAAAGATTACTGATGAATGTCCACAGTGTGTGCACTTCATAGTGGATTTTAATTGACCAACGAAATAATCTACAATCTTGGAGTTGTTCAGGACTCTTGTGCTTTTCCTTTATCGCTCAATTTTTCATCAATCTCAGTTAAGATCGGTTCAGGTTTCTCAGTAATTTTGTTGAGGTCCTCATGTAAACCTTCTAAAAGATATCGAAGGAATTCGTAGGCGTCTTGATGGGCAGAACCCATGTATCGTTCTAGTTGATGATTTGAGTTTCGAAAGTCCTAATTAATGATATTATGGAGGTTTGCAGAAGAAATTATTGGTCCAGTTTTTTAGGCACTATAATAGACTATAATAGAATTTGTGTAATTGATGACTAGTTTATTTAGTAGAAATTGATGATCACTTCAATGAAATGAAAGAAAACACTTTTGTTCAATTCCCGCTAGTTTTATCCCATTATCAAGTATAAAAACTAACTCCTATTATAATAGTTTTTGATTTCATCGCTGCAGCTGTGAAAAAAAACGTTGGTCTTGATTACTAAAAGGTTGTTTGGGAAAGGTATGAAATGAAAAATAGCATGACAATAATACAATACAAATTTTATCATTGAAAAAAATGTGGTTCACATATTAATAAGTACGGAAAAATAACAAAATTTTACTCTTATTTAGGTAAGTTTTGACAATTATTGCCGATGCATTTGCAAAGGGAGAACAATTGATTTTGATTTTTAGCAACTGCAGTATTACACTTCCAAAGCCTGATCAAAAAATTTGGCGATCGTGGTTTTGCCATTTGAACTTTCATAATCGAATTGGAGACAGTTCAGAAGCTCGTGTATTGATTCTGAGGAATTTTTCCACAAATATATTTGGACTGCAGCCTTTAAGCAATGTAAATATAAAGCATCAGAAGGGCAAATAATTAAATTGAACCCCCCCGAAGTCCCGATACATTCGGGAGGGCGCGCCAGCATTATCAACCAATGACCACTCCCCACACCGTAGGGTGGGTGATCATTGGGTCCGAGAATCATGTGCCCTGATCAAGAGCAGTGAGCCAAGAATGACAGCCTTCTGCATCTGTCCGGCTAAGATTTCTGCCTTAGTGCGGTAGGTCGATTTGATTTTAAGATTCGAAATTAGAGAGGGCATCATTTCACCAAGGACTTCACGAGGATTTCACAATAATCAGAACAACCATGTTGACAGAGTGATCTGGATAGAGTCTGCGGAGTTCGAAGAGAAAATCTTGATATTTTATCCGTTTTTCTCCCTCTCTTCTGACGATATTGGTCTCGCAAGGAGCTGAACACTCCACGACAAATATCGTTTTGCTCTGGTGGTCGAGAAGGACCACATCAGGCTTATTAGCTTGTATGAGCCTGAAGGTGGGGAACGAATAGTTCCAATAAATTCGGCACTTCTCGTTCCCCACAACGGACAACAGCGTAGGGCAATACCGGTGTCTCTTCAATACCGTAAGAGTGCAGTAGAGGATAATATAGCACTCTTAGGGCCGCGTTATGTCGATGGATATAGGCCGAGACCGCATATTATTACTATTATTGTTATTATTATATCCAGTTTATTGTTATTAATATATCCAGTTGACAATGATGGTAAAAAGAAAGTTCAATGAGGTCATGTATCCATCAGTGAAAATTGAAAAGAGTCATGAGAAATGATAGAAATTGAAATGATAGTCTCTACTGATCACTATACTCTAGAAATTAAATTATCAAAAGTTTCATAAATTCGATATTTCGTAAGTTGAAAGGCTTTGAAAAATATGATTATAAACGAGAAGTATGCAATACAATTAGATATACAGGGTGTTCCTTAAACACATGCTAATATTTAAGGAGGTAATTCTTAGACTCATTTTAAGAAAAA